GTATTTATTTTTGTCTCTGTAGTTTTTCCACTCTGATCTTTGTTATTTTTCTCCTAATAATATGAGACTTAAAGGTTTTTTATTCTTCTTCTTCTTCTTGATTTTCTAGTTTCCTGAGGTGCATCATTAGGTTGTTTACTTAAAAGCTTTCTCTTTTTGATGTAGGCTCCTATTGCTATGGACTTGCCTGTTGATACTGCTTTTGCTGAATCACATACAATTCTTTCAAGCTCTGATTTTCCTCAGGCTCAGGGAGTAACGGGTTTTTAAAGAGAGGAAAGGATGAACTCAGCCTGGAGGCTGGGCAGGTCTTCCTCAGAGAGTGTATTTGTCTTATCACAATAGATTTTGACCCCCCAAAGCTAGCTGGCAAGAAGAATGTTACAGAGGCCCCCTGAGTTTGGGAATCAAAAAATGCTTGACATCCAAACTATTCAGGTGAGGCCTTGCAGAATTTAGACTCTGCATGGAGGCCTTTCCTTATAACTTAAAATACCGAGTAAAAGGGAGGGAATTTCCCCCCATATTTTTTATTGGTGCATTATAGTTGTACATAGTAGTGGGATTCGTTGTTACTTACTTATACATGTACATATCAATATAATTTAGACAATATTTTCCCAGTATTTCCCCTTTCCTTTCCCTCTTTCCTCCCCCTGATCCCTTTCCTCTATTCTACTGATTTTCCTTTGATTTGCAGGGAGAAGGCATTAAAGAATTTGAAAAGAAACTGAGTGATCTTGCCAAGGACAACTTCTAGAAGGGGATACACTGTTAAAGTTCAAGTTATGGCTAGACACACTGCTTCAGAGGGTACATGCCATAAACTTTGGCAGCATTCACATGAAAGTAATTTATTCTGAAGGTCTGCAAAGAGGTATGCAAGTTTAGCAGTCTCCTCCTAGATTTCAAGGTCATACCCAGTGGCTCAGGCAGAGACTTTGAATGGGATGGAACCAGCACACTGAGCTCCCACTAGGGCAATGCTAAGCAGAAGTGTGGGGTCAGAGCTAGAAACAACACAGAATACATGCTAGGGCATTTACTAATGAAATCATGGGAGCAGAGCTATCACAGATGGTTATTATGGTAGTACAGAGGCAAGTTTGGAATAGGGACTGTTGCCCCAAACCCCAGAACTCTAGAACCACATCAGTGCAACAGGGCTGAAGCATGGGCTAAGCCCAACAAAACCACAGGACTGTCAATTTGAAATCCTTGGGGATTCCAATCTCCTTGCTGATTCCAATCAGCAAGACATGGAATCAAAGTAGATTACTTTGTAGCTCAAGGACTGAATTGTTTTCCCACTGGACTTGATGCCTATTACTCCTTTCTTCTCACCTATTTTTCCATTTTTTGGGAAAGTAAATGTCTATCCTATATCAGTCTTCCCATTGTATTCTGGAAGGAGGTGACTTGTTTTAGTTTCATAGGTTCACAGCTATAGAAAATTTGCCTTAGAATGATTTAGACTTTGAATCTCACCCATACTCAATTTAAATGACTTTGGACTTGGAACTTTTGAGTTGATGCTGAAGGAAGTAAAAACTTTGAAACTATTGGGATGAAAAGAATGTTATTTTGTGTGTGAGAAAGACATGAATTTGGGGGCATGAATTTGGATGCTATGGTTACCCAATCGCAGGTATTCTATGATAGCAAAAGAAAGTGGACTAAGACAGTGGATATTCTTGCCTTAGTCTTGATCTTAGAGGTAAAGTATTTAATTTCTTATCATTTAGTATGATACCAATTGTAGACTGCTAATGTAAGTTGAATATCCCTAATTACAAATGCTTGGGACCACATTTTTGTTGTTGTTTTGAAGTACTTACATATATATAATGATACACTGGGGTGGGACCTGAGCCTAAACACAAAACTTATTTGGTTTTCATATTCACTACATAAATATTTTCCAAAAATAGTTATATGCACACTCCAAATAATTTTGTGCATGAAGCAAAGAATCATGTTGTGGAATTTTCCAATTTAGGCATTATTATCTAGAAAGTTTCAGAAGTTTTAGCATTTCAGATTTTGGATTTTTGGATTAGGATTATTCAACTTGTATATGGCCTTTCTTGTCTTGGAATAACTCCTTCATTGCCAAATGTCTTGAGAGTTTTTATTATAAAATGATGTTGTTTTTTCCATCTGTTGAATGATTTTGAAAGTTTATTCTGATAATGTAATATATAATATTTAATGACTGGTATTTATTGAACCATCTTTGAGTCCCAGAAATAAATCACAGATGAGTCAGTCTTATGATCCCTTAAAAGTGCTGTTGAATTCATCTTATATTGAGAGGTTTTACATCTCTATTCACCAGGGATATTCATCAGGTATATTGGGTTATTATTTTCTCATAGTATACTTGTGTAGCTTTGTTGTCAAGATAATGCTGGCTGCCGAAGTCTGGCTAGGTGAAATAACCAGGGGACGAGTCACGAGGAACTTGTGAAGGTTGGTACATCGGGAGCCACTTTATTTTTTATTTTTTTTTTCTTCCTTCTCTCTTTTTTTTTTTTTTTT